TTGCCGGCAACCTGAAACCCTTCAGGTTGTGCCATGTAAATGTCTTCATCTAGATCACCATGTAGAAAAGCGGTTTTCACATCTAGTTGCTCTAGATGTAAATTCTCTGCTGCTACAATACTCAAAACTAACCTGATGGTTGTCATTTTAACCACTGGAGAGAAAATCTCATCATAATCAACCCCCCTTTCCTGCTGAAATCCCTTGACCACTAAACGGGCTTTATACCGTTTAGACCCATCATGTTCTTCTTTGATCCTGAAGACCCATTTATTCTGTAATGCTCTCTTACGTCGCGGAAGCTTAGCCAAAACCCAAGTTTTGTTCTTTTTTAGAGAGCTCATCTCGTCCTTCATTGCATGCTCCCACTGGAGAGAATCTTTCATCTTGACTGCCTCGGAGTAACTTTCTGGCTCATCATTTTCTGTCAAGAGAATATAATTAACTGAAGGAGTATATCTATCTGGCTTCTTTGTAACTCTGGTGGACCTCCTGACCCACTGATCAGTCTGATCAGTCTTGTCAGATGGGGATTGTTCATCTTCAGACTCCGAACTCCCACTGTCAGAGGCTACCTTTGACTCATCATTTCCACCGACTTCAAACTCTGGAACTGTGTCGACAATTGTTTCAGTTTCTTGTTCGGAAACCGGTTCAGGAACCAGTTTAGCTCCCTGCTTTTCTGCTCCTGTGTCAAACTCAACCTGCTGCTTTTGAACCTTAGAGTTTTATTCCTTTCTGTCTTTGTACAATTCAGCCTCATTGAACGTCGCATGTTTACTTCTGACTACCTTTTTGCTTTCAAAGTCCCAAAGCCGGTAGCCCATGTTGTCTGATCCATAGCCAATAAAGGTGTACTTCTTGGCCTTTGCATCTAGCTTATCACCATCTTGATTCAAATCATAAGCACTGCACCCGAAAACCTTTAGGTCCTTATAATCAACAGCTTTACCCTTCCATTCTTCTTGAGGTACTTTGAAACCCAACGGAACTGAAAGCAATCGGTTGATTAGGTAAGTAGCAGTGTTAATTGCGTCTGCCCAAAACATCTTCGGGAGCCCTGCATTTATTCTCATACTTCTGGCTCTCTCGTTTAGAGTTCTATTCATCCTTTCTGCGACTCCATTTTGTTGAGGAGTGCGTGGAACAGTCTTTATCATCCGAATGCCTCGTTCAGCACAATAGTCCATGAACTCTGTGCTAATGTACTCCCCTCCGTTGTCCGATTTCAAACATTTCACCTTCAAACCAGTTTCAAGTTCAACGGCAGTTTTCCATTTCTTAAAAACATCAAATACTTCGTATTTACTTTTAAGAAAATAAACCCATACCTTGCGTGTGGCATC